GGTTAGGAAGAAACCTTTCCTGTTTCTGTAGGGCCTTTCTCGCGTCTCGGGAGCAAATCTCCACAAAACGGTGACGGGGTGGGGGGTGTACGGTGATGACGAACACAGTGGCAAGCAGGTACTGTCCCTGCAGGGAATAAAGTTGGTTTTTTTTTTCTTTCCCCCTTTAGGTTCCGGCCCTTTGTGCCGCACATCCCCTTTGATTTCTATGTCGTGAGTAGCCCTGTCCTACGGAGCTGTTTGCGGGCAGCAGCTGCCGGACTTTTCCGTGTTTAAAGATGCATCTTAAAAAGCCTTGTCCGGTGACTTTGATGGTTTGGCTTCTTTTAGCGTAGCTGGAGTACAGGAGTTGACTGAAAAGGCTGTTGGTTCAGTAACTAACCCGAAATAGATCACGGGATGACTAGGATGCAGTTGAGTAATCACACATAAACACCTTGATTGAGGTTTTGCTGCTTTTTAAGGCACCCACTCACCCAGCCCCTCGATTCTGTCAGTAACACAAACCCCAGGGGTTACTCCTGTCACAAGTCCTCCAGGCTCTCTGTCCGTGTCACTCCGTACAAGGACCAATGGCCACACACGTGTCCCACCTTTTTCTAGGAGGAAATAATTTCCTCCATCTGCCCTTTACAGACACCTAACTTCCAGGGCAAACAAGGTCGCTTACTCTTGCCTTCCAGGCCCTGTGGCTGTGAATCCCGTCACAGCAACCGCAACACTCCAGCCACCTGCAAACCAAGGGTGTTATTATGAGGGGACTGTGACAGAGTTCCTAAAAACGCCGTTGATAGAGCTGTTTAAATGAGGTCTGCCCTGTCTCACAGCCCGTGGTTACACGGGCACGCTGGCGGCTCCGCTGCCGTCCCCTCGGAGCATGGCGAGAGCGTACGAGCAGGACAGGCAGCAGCTCTCCCTTAGGCTAACGTGACAGCAGATTATAAAAGCAACAAGTGAAAACCATGACGAGGAATCGCAAAGGAAACAGGCGCCGGAGAGTAAAAAATAAACGGTGTAAATTTTGCTGAGGAGTGGGTTGAACCAAAGTTTCCCTCGGGTGTCGCAGTCTTATACCTGCTCCCGTTTCAGTGCGAAATGGCTTTCCCCCGCGTCAAACCAGCCGCTGACGAGACCGCCTTCAGCGAAGCCTTGCTGAAGAGAAACCAGGATCTTGCTCCGACCGCCGCTGAACAGGTTTTGTGCCGAAAATCACCTTAAATTCTTTGGCTGGGTGGTGCCGTGGCGTTAGCGAACGCGGAGGTGGGCTGTCCTTCAGAGGGGGTAGCCAGGAGGAGTCGTTACTAGCCTGAAAAGTAATGAATTCTCTCGGAGAGAGGCTCTGCAGTATTAGTATGGGTGGGGTTTCTCGGGGGGTGACTTGTAAATCCGTTTGTCACATATCTTGGATCAGGGCTCTCTGTGTTACGCTGTGCGCAGTCAGTTTATTTCAAGTCCTGCTGGACAACTGACCGGTAACACCACCCCTCTCCAATTCCTTTTCAGGCTTCCATTCTTTCCCTGGTGACCAAAATAAACAACGTGATCGACAACTTAATTGTAGCACCAGGAATGTTTGAAGTGGTGAGTCCCGAAGTGCTGAGCTTGGGAAGAAAAACCTATGTGGGGAGAGGCTTCGGCATGCGGGACACTGGTGTCCCGGCCACCAAATCTAGCCTGAAGCGGATAAAAGATTCACGCCGATGCCCGGAAACGCGGCACGTCCATTAAATTCACTCCTTTTCCCTTTTTAAACAGCAAATCGAGGAGGTTCGCCAGGTGGGTTCCTACAAGAAGGGCACCATGACGACGGGGCACAACGTGGCCGATCTGGTTGTGATTCTGAAAATCTTACCCACCCGTGAGTATCGGCTGCGCGGCCGCTGTCCCAGCTGCAGCGCTCGGCCCCGCTCTAACCACCTCTTCTGCTTCCTCTCCCTAGTGGAAGCTGTGGCAGCCTTGGGAAACAAAGTCGTGGAAAGCCTGAGAGCGCAGGACCCCAGCGAAGGTGGGACGCTCCCCCATACGTGGTTGGGGGGGACATACGCAGTTTCCCCTTCAATCTCTGGGGTTTGCCTGAAGGGAATGGTGCTGCAGCACTGCTGCAGAGATCCCTGGTCTTTCCTGTGGTCCCAGTAAGGTTCCCAGCTCCTCCATGAGGAATTCTTGTTCTCCCTCCCCAGTCCTGACCATGCTGACCAATGAGACTGGCTTTGAGATCAGCTCAGCTGACGCGACGGTGAAGATCCTGATCACCACGGTGCCACCCAATCTCCGCAAGCTGGACCCCGAGCTACACCGTAAGGGCTCGGCGTGCTCTGCCCCGCGTGCCTATGCTCCTTTTGGGTCAGAATCCGAGCCTTTCTGCTGCTTTTTTTCAGTGGATATCAAAGTGCTGCAGAGCGCCCTGGCTGCCATCAGACACGCTCGCTGGTTTGAGGAGAACGCTTCCCAGTCCACGTGAGTTTGGCCTCAAACGGGAACCGCAGCTGAGGCTCCGTCGAAATAATCCGCTTCACGGAGAGCGGGGAGAGCTGGAAGGTGCGTGACACATTCCAGACCCTCCTCCTGCCATCTTCTCCAGGGTGAAGGTCTTAATCCGGCTGCTGAAAGACCTGAGGATTCGATTCCCGGGCTTTGAGCCCCTCACGCCCTGGATTCTGGACCTGCTGGTGAGCAC